CCGGGAGCCCGTCTGCTGGGGCCGCGTCCTCGAGGCGCTGTGCCGGGAGGAGCCCGTCGTGGAGGGCCCGGACTGTCGCCTGGAGCTGTAAGTCGCTGGTCGCGCGGCCGCGGCGCACCGCACTTCATCCTCCACGGTCGCGGGAGGCAGGGGCCGGCGCCACCCCCTTTTCTAGATGGGGAGACCGAGGCACGTGAGGTTTATTAATTCCCCTCGGCGAGGCAGTCTCGGGCGCGCACCCGGTGGGGAGGGACATCCAGCAGGCCTGCCCTGAGCACCTGCTGTGTGCCGGCCAGTACCGTACCCAGACGGGGGACACGCTTTCTGTTGGGTGTGAATGAAGAATTATAAGTCAGCGGACGCAAGTCGATTTTGATCGTATACTTCCATCTCTAAAAAAAATAGAACTCGTACCTCCAGTATAGGTACACTTATGTATAAGTGTACACGTGTTAAAATACGTTATAAAGTGTACAAAAATAGAAATGTAAAACGTGATAAATGACAACATCGAAGTGGCTTTATATTATCAAGTTTTCAACGCATAATATACATTCTAGGGCAAGATCACTTTCCTTAAGGATAGTGTCCTTGATAATTTCTAGTCGCATAGGTGAATTTGAACTTTTTTTTCTTCTTTTTTTTTTTTTTTTTTTTGCTGAGGAAGATTGCCCCTGAGCTAACATCTGTTGCCAATCTTCCTCTTTTTGCTGAGGAAGATTGGCCTTGAGCTAACATCTGTGCCATCTTCCTCTACTTTATATGTGGGAGACTGTCACAGCATTGCTTGATGAGTGGTTTGTATGTCCGCACCCAGGATTAGGACCAGTGAACCTTGGCTGCTTAAGCAGAGTGCCCAGCTCAACCACTACGCCAGTGGGCCTGCCCCTGAACTTTTTTTTTTTTTGACTTTTTATGTGGCTGACAAAGAATTCCTACTAGGAGCATAAGTGTCAGCTCTGCCATTTTCTTGTTTGGTGTGCTTCTGTTATTGGTATTCACTGTCTTTTCAGACATCCTTATAAGCCATTTTGTGAGTGTTCTGTTTGTTAAAAAAAAAAAAGATAATGCAGTATCCATAAATGTACTTAACTATCATAAAAACTAAAATACACATGGGCCGGCCCCGTGGCTTAAGTGCGGGTGCTCCGCTGCTGGCGGCCAGGATTGGGATCCCGGGTGCGCACCGACACACCGCTTCTCCGGCCATGCTGAGGCCGTGTCCCACATACAGCAACTGGAAGGATGTGCAACTATGACGGACAACTATCTCCTGGGGCTTTGGGGGAAAAAAATAAATAAATAAAAATTAAAATACACAGAAAGTAAAAAAAGTGAGTGAGGTGCCACCTTCAGCCTCTAGGGAGCTGAAGAGCGGGCCTTCCACTCTTCTTGGATACCCCTCCCTCAGAATTAGGCCAGAGACTGGAATATGGAGGGCCAGTCCGCATATTAAATATTTGTAATACTTAATTTCTTATGTTTTAGATAAGTAGGAATAGAAGTTCTAATATTTTCTTCCCACACTCCACTTTGGATTTCTTTCAAGAGATGGATCAGGAGAACTTTCTGAATCCACAAATTGAGGCTATAGAAATGTTTGTTCAGCTGTCTGGCCTTTTCTTTTTTTTTTTTTTTTTTTTTTTTTTTTTTGCCCCCAAAGCCCCAGTAGATAGTTGTATGTCACAGCTGCACACCCTTCTAGTTGCTGTATGTGGGACTCGGCCCCAGGATGGACAGAGGAGTGGTGCCTCGATGCGCACCCGGGATCCGAACCCGGGCCGCCAGCATCGCAGCGCGCGCACTTAACCACCAAGCCACAGGGCCGGCCCTGTCTGGCCTTTTCTGAACAGAGTAAGGGGAGGAGGACTTAATCTACTTGGATAGCGTTGTACTTCAGTGTAATTGGCTTCTTTTGTAATCCTATGTATTTTATTTTATACATTTAACACTTATTCTGATATGGGGGTCCATGCACAAAAAAGAGTTAAAAGCCCTTGGAGTAGGGTCTTCCCTACTACTCTACTCTCAAATATCCTCCACCACGAATTCACCATCTTTTTAACTTTTACTCTCCTTTTCTCTCTCACTTAGTGTTTGTTTTCCACAAAGAAATAAAAGTCAAATTTCTTCTCTCTCACACATCCCAAGTGCCTCTGTGTGTGATGATGAACAGCCCTGCAAAATCATGTATAGAGAGGCACAGAGGGGTGATGAGTGGTGGGCCAGATGCACCCATGACTTGCTTGGCACACCGACAAGCCTCAGGTCACACAGCATCTGGATTCGTGCCTTTGCAACATTACACATGGCTACATTGCTCTGTCCACAGCAGCCCTTTCTGATCTCTGGACACTTATTTTCAGAGTTAATTCATTCAGTAAATGTGTACCAAGTGCTTGCTATGGGCGGTGCTGTGCTGGGTTCTGGGACACAGAGGAAGGAGACACTGCCTGTGCCTCTCAGGAACTCAGTTTGGTGAAAGGAACACCAGAGCTGGACAGATGTAACCCTGTCAGTTGCAGGGGTTGCCAAGGGGAGCACAGGGCCACAGACTAAGCTTTGCACAGCATCCTGGAGTATTATTTTTACATAAAGTTTTGAAAAGGACTTTTATTCTTTTTTACATAAAATAAGCATGAATCTATTATAAAGTAGGTTCCAGCGTGAATTTTTGAGCTGAAATAGGAGACGTCAAAGAGCAGGGCCTAGCATAGAATAGACACTCAATGAACCTTGTTGAATGACTCACGTGCTTTCCATCCACACTAACTCGCGGGTACTGCCTCCCAGCCCCCTGTCTGTCCATTGCCATCTAGCCTCTGGCTCTACCCAGTCTGCCCCATGCTCCCTTCAGCAAGATGCTCGTAACTGCTTGCCCTCTCTCTGTTACCCAGGAAACCACTGCTGCTGCGATTGCCCCAGTTATGCCAGAGGAACCTGATGACCCTGCTGATGGCTGTTCGGCCATCGCTGCCTGAGAGCGGGCTCCTCCCTGTGCTGCAGATTGCACAGCAGGACTCAAGCCCTGACCCTGATACCTGGCTTAGGGCCCTGGGAGAATTGCTGCAAAGGGATCTGGGTGCTGGAGTCTCCATTGAGGGAGCGTCCCCACTGTCTAAGAGGTGCCAGAGACAGCTCCGAGGCCTGTGTGGGCAGCTGGGCCAGGGGGACAGGAGGTTGAAGTTGCTTCCAGACCCTGAAGAGGAAGAAGAGGAGGAGGACAAGGGCTCCCAGCAGCCTGGGAAACGCAGAAAGGAGCCAGAGGAAGAACCTGCCAGTCCTGAGGAAGAGAGGGCCCCCAAAAGGTTCCGGTGTTTGGACAGGGAGGAAGAGGAAGGTCATGAGGAGGAGAGACCTGAACATGAAGCTTTGGAATCCCCGGCAGGTGGAGAAGGCGCATCACCCATTAAGAACCAGCCTGTCGTGGGGGCTGAGCCCAGTGAGGCTGGTCAGAGTCTGGAGGATGCTGAGGGCCTGGCTGAGAGTTTGGAGTTGCCCAAAGCTATCCAGGTACTGGGGAGAGGAGGCTGGGTTTAGAGTGATCCTTCAGGAGTAGGAGGCTTATCCAGGGCGCAAGCCGTTTGGGACCCTGTTTCCCAGTTGGAGTGACTGTAGTCCATAGAGCAGGGGGAAGGAGGGTGGGGTTGAGGGAATGTAGTCTGCTCCACTGACTCTGAGGAGGGGGTGCGGAAGGGAGTTACTGGAGGTGGAAAGGCCTTGGCCTAATGATCTATAACGTGAGGTTACTGGGCGCTGGCAGAGGAAAGGCTCCAGAGCCACCCTTGCCACCCCATCTTATGGGGGTGGGAGAAATGCCAGCAACAGCCTGCCCTTCCAGCCCAAGGCCTTGGTCTACCCCAGTTAGGGTGGATGCAGAGAAGACAAGTCTAGGCAGCTGGATTCACACAGCCCTGTCTAGTTTGAGTTCTTAAGCACTTTTCAAGGCTCTCTTGAATCATCTTTGCCCACTAGCTCCTGCTGACCTGGGGCCTTCTCAGGAGAGGGAGCCAGGGCTGGGTTTGGGGCCACGCTGCGTGGGGAGGGACTTGGCAGTGACTGGACTCTCCTCTGCAGGACCAGGTTCCCAGGCTGCAGCATCTGCTCAAGACCTTCGGGGAGGTGACTGGCCTTACGCTCTTCACTAGAGCCCTTCTTCCACCTTCTGCCTGGACCTCAGCCACACTCAGGGAGCCCCAGTGCAGTGAGGCACAGGCTGTTTGGGTGGGGGGTTGGAGTGAAGGTCTGAGGACAGTCACTGCAGGGGCTTTTCTTTTCTTTCTTTCTTTTTTTTTTCCCTCTGAGGAAGATCAGCCCTGAGCTAACATCCGTGCCAATCCTCCTCTTGTTTTTTGCTGAGGAAGACTGGCCCTGGGCTAACATCCGTGCCCATCTTCCTCCACTTTATATGGGACACTGCCACAGCATGGCTTGACAAGCAGTGCGTCGGTGTGCGCCCAGGACCCGAACCCTGGGCCACCACAGTGGAGCGCGCACACTTAACCGCTACACCACGGGGCTGGCGCAGGGGCTTTTCTTGGCCCAAGTATAGATATGTCATCTACCCCAGACAAGTTCCTCTCTGGCGGCACCTTCCAGGGTCCTCAGCCACCCACTCTGCCAGTTGAAGGGGTGGCCGCAGTGACTTGTCCCCATGGTCCTGCCAGCCCTAACATGGGATTTGCCTTCCCAGGGCATGGAGGGGTTGGAGGGCACCTCCCTGGCTGAGCTGCAGCTCCTCCACGAATGCAGTCCTGGCCAGGTGAGTCCAGAAAGACTGCCTGACCCCAAGGAGACATCCCCTCTTCCCAGCCTTTTCCATTTAAGTTTGTGTTTCCCTGCCTTATGTGGGAATTTGGGGAGAGGGTTTTGTTGGGTTTTTTGGTCTCAGAGGCAGGGGTCTTTAGCCCTTGGTTCCTCCCTGTAGGGTACCTCTCCCGGCCTCACCTTACCCTAGAGTATCCTTGCCCTACCCCTTCTGCTGCCCAGTTGGCTTGAGACAGCCTAGCAGAGACAGACCGAATGTCCCTGTGCCCTCCCTCCTACTCTGCAGATGGACGTGCTCTGTGCCCAGCTGCAGCTCCCCCAGCTCTCGGACACAGGTCTCCTGCAGTTCTGCACCTGGCTGCTGTCCCTTTCACCAGATCTTAGCCTCAGCAATGCTACCGTGCTGACCAGGAGCCTCTTTCTTGGACGGGTAGGTGGCTTGGGATGCACGCGAGTGCCAGCGACAATGAGGGAGAGAGTCTGAGCCCTTAGAGGGGTGGTACTTGGGAGACGAGATTCCCAGCCTTGGGCCCAGGCAGGGCCTGGGCAGCCTGGGGCAAGGGAAGGGCATGGACCCCTGGGCCGTCTACCCACATGGTATCTAACTCACCCCTCTTGGGCCCCAGATCCTTCCAGATGCTGAAGGGATTTGGGATCAGGGATTTGGGAGCTGGGGAAGGGAGCTATGTGTCTTTTCCAATGGGTGGGTCCATCTTAGTGCTAGATAAGAGAAACTTTTTTTTTTCCTGAACATTTATCACCATCTGAAATACAATGTATGTCTGATAAACATTTATTGAAGGGAAGAAGAAATGAATTAATTAATATTTTCCTCCCCATTGGCTATAGATTCTCTCCCTGACTTCCTCAGCCTCCCGCCTGCTCACAACTGCCCTCACCACCTTCTGTGCCAAGTATACCTACCCCGTCTGCAGAGCCCTCCTTGGCCCCGTGCTCCAGGCCCCAGGAACAGGTAATTCTGGAACCAGCCCCAGGCCTGGTAGCTCTGCCCTCTCTGTTGCCAGCACCCTTCCCCGCAGGGTGGCCGGCAGGAGTTGGGTATTCAATGAGTAAAGATACCTGTTCCTTCCCTGACAATACCTCCTATAATGAGGGGCATTCTGCTCCCCACTAGTCCCATCCTCTCCTGCCATTTTCCCCTGGACTTCTGCCATCTGCTGTCCCCTACCCAGGTCCAGCTCAAATAGAGTTACTGTGTTGCCTTATGAAGGACGAGGCCCTGGAGCCAGACATGCAGGTTCTAATGCTGGGGTGAGTGTACAGCCCCTACGCTGCCCCCTCCCACCTCCTTCCCCTGGCCAAGCCTGCTCTTGGCATTCTGGAGTTGGAGCCAGCTGGGCACCAGGACCTGCACCCAAAAGACAGGCAGCGGCATAGCCGATGCCCCTGTCAGTGTTGCCTGACCCTGGCCCGTGCAAGTTGCTGTCCTGTGCACCTTTGCAAGCCCAGGGTTTCAGTCGTCTGTGCCAGGTCCCTTGGGGAATGCAGAGAAGAGCCTGGCAAAAGTGGTTAAGGGCACTGGCTCTAGAGACAGACAGACATGGTTTCAAATCTCAACCTTGCCTTTATTTAAATGTGTGAGTTCAAACAGGTTATTCCATCTCTCTGAGCCACCATTTCCTCATATGAAAAATGGGGAAAATAATTCACTCTATATGTGATAATGCATATAAAGACCTCAGCACAGTATTTAACACCTAGTAAGGGCTCAAATATTGTTATTAAATTGGTGTTAAATTTGGGTATTAAAATTGGCGAGTCAAGATACAGACATAAGTAGAAACAATAAGTAGGTAAGACCCCACTGGACACCAACATGAAATATAAAATGCTAGGTATAATATGAGAAGAGGACAGTCTCAAAAATAATATCAGCCACCACTTATGGAGCACTTCCTCTATGCTTTAGATTCTTCATCTCAGTTAGTCTTCATGCAGTCCTGTGAGGTAGGTGCTGCTGCTGCCTTAGAGACGGAAAAACTGAAGCTCAGAGAGGTTAAGGGATGTGGCCAGAGGTCACATTGCCAACCAATGATAAAGCCTGGGATCAAACCCAAATCTGTGCACCCAGGAAGCCACAGTGTTGCCGTGACATGCTGCCTTTCCACACAGTAGAACGGCAGGCGCAGCTGGAGTGGACGTCACTGTGGGTTGGGCCCTGCAGGGAAGGCTTGCCTCCTCCAGGAAGCCTCGTGTGTCGTCTCACTCCATCATCATCCTCTTCCTTGAGTCACCCTCACCTTTGGTACTCAGGATGCAGTCTCGACTCCTGGTTATTTTCCAGGGGACCTTTGTACATATCACTGCCAAATCCTTCATTGGCAGCTCCCAGGGTCCTTGGGTTGTGGCCTTCCCAGCACTGAGTATGGGCTCTGCAGCAGTGGCTACTGAGCGGCCGCCAGCATCAGGGGCTGCTGACTACCTCCTCTGTTGGCTGGGGATCTTGGCTGTCCCCAGGGCCTTGCCCTGCCTTGGGGTAGCAGCAGTAGATATCCAGGCTTGGGTGGGAAAGCAGGCTTTTCTCACCGGGGCCTGTGCTTTGCAGACAGATCTTAGAGCTGCCCTGGAAGGAGCACACTTTCCTGGTGTTGCAGTCACTCCTGGAGCGGCAGGTGAGCAGCTCCCTTGGGGAGTAGTGGATGAGGAAGTGCTGCAGTGTTTGGATGGGTGTGGGGCTCCTGGGTTTCTGATCCCTTTGGTGATGGAGGGGAAAGCAGGACAGCTGCCCTACAGCAGGTGCCCCAGGACAGGAGAGAGTCCTGGGGCTTGAAAGGCTGGGAGCAGAGAGCTGACTGCGTGGTAAATTCCAGCCCTACCTCTTACTGGTTTTGTGGCCTTGGGAAAGACTTTTTGATGCTTATGTGTAAGTTTAATTTATTTTTGAATAGGTAATAGATTCGTTATGTTTACAATTTTGAAAGCTCAAAAGGATGTAGTGAAAAATATTCCCAGCCATCCAGATTCCCCTCCCCAGGACTAGTCAGTGTTACTAGTGTCAGGGGAACTCTCCCAGAGATGATTTATATATGTAAGGACACAGTTTAAACTTAGTTTTCCCCTGCTTTTTACATAGATAGTAACACACCAAGCTGAGTGCTCGGTACTTTGCTTTTTTCACTTAACAGTATATTGTGGCAGTTTTTCCATATTGGTACCTAAAATTCTGCCTCCTTTGTTTATAACTTAGGAAGTTGACCTAACTTCTTTATGCCTCAGTTTCCTCATCTACAAAGGAGAGTGATGATAGCACCTACTGTGTAAGACTGGGGTGAGGTTTAAGTGGGATAATTGGTGTCAAGTGCTCAGGAAGGTGCCTGATGCATAATACGTGCTTATTAAAGTATTATTATTATTTTTTTTTTTTTTTTTTTAAAGATTTTATTTATTTATTTTTCCCCCAACGCTGTCTGTCATAGCTGCACATCCTCCTAGTTGCTGTATGTGGGACCCGGCCTCAGCATGGCCGGAGAAGCGGTGCGTCGGTGCGATCCCGGGATCCGAACCCGGGCCGCCAGCAGCAGAGCGCGCGCACTTAACCGCCAAGCCACGGGGCTGGCCCTAAAGTATTATTATGAAGAGCTGTTATGCTGGCAGTACCCCTTGGGACCTCTCACTCCTTTATATCTTTAATCACTAAACCATGCTAGGGATCCTTGGCCTCCCCTTGGTCCTAGTCTGAGCCTTTGCAATGATAACCACCATTTTTTTTTTTTTTTGTGCGGAAGATGAGCCCTGAGCTAACATCCATGCTAATCCTCCTCTTTTTGCTGAGGGAGACCGGCTCTGAGCTAACATCTATTGCTAGTCCTCCTCCTTTTTTCCCCCCAAAGCCCCAGGAGATAGTTGTATGTCATAGTTGCACATCCTTCTAGTTGCTGTATGTGGGACACGGCCTCAGCATGGCCAGAGAAGCGGTGTGACGGTGTGCGCCCGGGATCCGAACCTGGGCCGCTGGTAGCGGAATGCACATGCTTAACCGCTAAGCCACGGGGCCGGCCCCTGATAACCACTATTTTATGAGACCTATGTGCCAGGCTTCGTGTGCATTATCGCATTTAATCCCTTTCACAGTCTTCAGAGTTACATATCATGAGCTCCATTTTATAGATGTTGAAACTGAGGCTTAGTTTGGTTAAGTGACTTGCCCAAGGTCACCTCGTTAGGAAGTGGTGGAATTGGGAATTGAATCCAGGGCCTTTTCTTGTGCTGCTGTCTCATCTCCCAATCTGTGCAGGTGGAAATGACCCCGGAGAACTTCAGTGTGTTGACAGAGAAGCTCTGTAAAGAGGGGCCAGCGGCTGCCACATCCATGGCCTATGCCAAGCTCATGCTGACAGTATTGACCAAGTATCAGACTAACGTGAGTGTTGATAGGGCCACGAGGGCTGGTCCTACTGCTCTGAGCCTGCCACGAGGGTGTGCAGATGTTTGCCAGGGGGAGAACCCTGAGTGTTAGCCGGGGAAACCACAAGTTCAAGCCCAGGACTGGGGAATGAGACTGCTTAGGAATCCAGCCAGCCAGCCAACACTGCTGTGGGCCAGATGCTATATGGGGCATTGGGAATCAACAGTGACCATAACGCAGTCCCTGTCCTTGACTTGACCCTCTCCCCCAATGCCGGGCTAGTGAGAGGGGAGAGAGGTGATAGACAGATCGTTGTAATATCTGGCAGGAGCCAGGTGAGAAGTGTGCACAGGGCATTTGAGGAAGAGGGGGCAACTAAACCTTGTTTGTGGTTGGGAATTGGGACGGGCTTCCTGACTCTTAAAGGGTGAGTGGTAGTCAAGGGGTGAAATGGAGGAAAGGGCATTCCAGGCAAAGGAAACAGTGGAAGCAGTGACCGTCTGAGGGGATCTACAGGTAGTTCATTGTAGCTGGGGCCTGGAAACATGCGAGTGGATGGTGGTAGGGGATGAGGTTACAGAGCTAAAACACTGAGAGCTAATACTTGCATGACCCCTGCATCTCAGGCACCATTCTAAGCCCTTTGTGGATGTTCACTCGCTAGTTTATTCCATGTTAGCCCTACGAGAAGATACTAATATTAGCTCCATTTTATAGATGAGGAAATTAAGACTCAGAGAGGTTAAAGTAACTTGCCCAAGGTCACATTGCCAGGCCATGGTAGCATCTTACGGAGGCCCCTGTAGGTTATGGGGAGGAGATTGGACTTTATCTTGAAGGACAGGTGTTCTTGGCTGTTGGCTCTTTACCCTTTTCTTGGGAGTCACAAGCCTGTTTGATGATTTGATGAAAGCTATAGATCTTCCCAGAAAATGAAAATCTGAACACACATCTTATGCACAATTTCAGGAGGCTCCTGGATCCTCTGGAGACCCTCTGTAGATCCTGGAAGAAGGGCCTCCAACATGAGGCATCGGGAGTTATCCCAGGGCCTTCACCTGGAGTGACTTGGTCAGATTTGCATTTTATAAAGAAGCCTCTGGCCTCTATAAGGAGTGGGGCTTGGAGAGTGCAGATAGAGGGCAGAGACTTTTCAGAATGTTGTAGTAGGGGGCCGGCCCGGTGGCGCAAGCGGTTAAGTGTGCTCGTTCCGCTGCGGCGGCCCGGGGTTCGCTGGTTCGGATCCCGGGTGTGCACCGACACACCGCTTGTTAAGCCATGCTGTGGCGGCGTCCCATATAAAGTGGAGGAAGATGGGCATGGATGTTAGCCCAGGACCAGTCTTCCTCAGCAAAAAAAGAGGAGGATTGGCATTGGATGTTAGCTCAGGGCTGGTCCTCCTCACAAAAAAAAAAAAAATGTTGTAGCAACAGGTCAGGGAAGAAAAAGTGTGGCCCAGTAGGAAGGTGGCAGCTGCAGTGGAGTGTGTCTGAACCTCAGTTTCCTCATCTGTAAAATGGGAGGGTTGTGAGGATTATATGAAGTAATGCATATAAAGTGCTGCCACATAGCATAGAAGCCCCCAATAATTGTCAGCTGTTACTAATGTGGCTGACTTAGTAGGTTGTGCAGTTAGTATTTGACCCCAGCTCCACCTGAATTCAAAGACGGTGCTTAACCCTGGTGAAACAATGAGGTTAGCCTGCTCGGGAGTCGTCTGCTCCTTCCATCGTCCTTGAGTCCTAGATTCCTCTCTCCTCCCTCAACAGCCCAGGGGCAGAGGGGACAGGGCAGGGGTCAGCTGCTGGAGGCCTGACATGATTCTTCCTTCTCCCCAGATCACTGAGACCCAGAGGCTGGGCCTGGCCGCAGCCCTAGAGCTCAACGCCACTTTCCTGAGGAAGTCTCTGCAGGCTGCCCTGAGACATCTGGCCCCCTGACCATCCACCAAGGGGCCACCCTCCTGGAGCTTCCTCACCAGTTTTCTGAAGGACACTTCTGCCCTTAGCACCTCACCCTGACCCCTTGCCTTTGGGTAAAGGCTGAGCCTGCCGTCCCAGGAATCAACTGCCTCCCTGCTCCAGGCGGCAGAGGGACCGTCTTGGCCTCCCAGCCAGCAGGGAGGGTCCTGGGCTAAGGGGGCTGGATGAGTCCAAGGACTGCTGACTCTGGGCTCGCTCCTGTCATTTCTGCCTCAGGCTGCAGGGACAGAAACTTTCCGATAGGCCTCAGTAGGGTCAAAGCAAACCCAGAGTAGACAGATGATGCTCCAGGAGCCCTGGGGGACCTGTGTGCTCAGCACACTCTTATGCTCAAGCGTATGTTATGATCCTCTGTGTTCTTGTTTCTGACTTGAATAATAGTTTATCGATAGTATTTAATAAAAAGCAGGAAGTTCAATAATGTCTTATTAGAAGCAGTGCCTGTCTCCCTATTAACTCTGGATAGTTGTTGAAAACCAACACACACTACCACCTCTCCTTGCCCCCACCTGCTTAGTGACAAGGGGCATCTTTTTCCTGGTGAAATGTTCTGTGAGGGGGAGTTGGTAGAGTTCCGAAGTTCTTTCATTCTTGTTCTGTGGGCCGGATACTGTGTGATACCACCCACCCAAGACCTATCAAAACAGTTGAGTAGGTGAGGCGTGCACCCACCACTGGGGAGGGGGGTTGAAGGTGGGAGTGTCTCAGTCTGGATTTGGGGAAGGCTTTGGGGCAGATGACGTTTCAGGAGGGATCTGAGGCTCTCCTGGGGTTACTGTAGGCAGAGAGGAGGATAGGGCCTGTTGGACAGAGGAAAGGACAGAAAGGGTGTGCATGTCTGTTTTACATCTTTATATTCCCATAGCACCTACCCAGGTGCCTTGTTCATAGTAAACACTTAACAGGGCAACTGAGGGTTTTGCAGTTGTTTGGATTGTGGCGCAGTGACTGGCGCGAGATGGAGGTGAATGTGGCGGCAGAAGATAGTTGAGACGGTCCCTGGGAGCAGGCGAGGCTTGGAAGAAGCTGGGAGGCAGCAGCAGAACCACGAAGTATGGTCTCAGTCCCGGGCCAGCCAGTTTCCAAAACACTCCTACTGGTTGGATCTCAGGATCTCAGAACGAAGTTCGTTCTCTTCGACCTGGTGATGGTTTTCTTTGTGTATCTTTTGCCCTGATTGTGTATCGTTTGCCTGATATCTAAAGAAATTGGCTCCTGGAGTGGATTCTGAAAATGACTACAAATTTCTTGAACAAAGAAGATAGGACTGTGCAACAGAGGAATTTCAGAATCTCAGAGACCTTCTTTTCATTTTATACATTCTGTTACTCATTTTTGGGACTATATTAAATGGGTGGTGATCTCACCCATTGATAGCTTAAAACGAGACTCTGATTCCTATTTAAAAACGTTTTTCAAACATTTGATTGCTTTACAGGGGCTGAATGTAAAAGTATTTATACATAAAAGTTTAGTGTATTCATTAAGAAATACAGTAATGTCTTTAACATTTTAAGGGTTGGCTGAGGTTTAGTATGATGCAAATAATATGGTGAAATAATAGGTGAAGTATTTAAAAATAAGTTACTCGAAAGCAAGGGGAGGATTTTGAGAAAAGGAGTTAAAAGCTATACAGAAAATGCAGGCCCACAATGTATTGGCTGTAAGTACCAGTTTAATTTTTAGATTCAGCAAGCCTCTGTTACGATTGCCAGATTGATACAATCCTAGAGAAAGTGTATAATATCCAGTATTGGAAAGCTGGCATGCATGTCCTCTTACCTGGATGCTTCTCCTCCCTTCTCTTCCTTTTAAGCTCTTGAACTCCCTAAAATAGGCCTGTGTGTTTCAAACCTATTTTTTATTATTTTAGCTGCATTAAGAATGCTGGTGGGGGCTGGCCCTGTGGCTTAGTGGTTAAGTGCGTGCGCTCTGCTGCTGGCGGCCCGGGTTCGGATCCCAGGCGCGCACTGACACACCGCTTCTCCGGCCATGCTGAGGCCGTGTCCCACATACAGCAACTAGAAGAATGTGCAGCTATGACATACAACTATCTACTGGGGATTTGGGGGGAAAAGATAAATAAATAAAATCTTTAAAAAAAAAAAAAGAATGCTGGTGGGGGCCGGCTCCGTGGCTTAGCGGTTAAGTGCGCGCGCTCTGATGCTGGCGGCCCGGGTTCGGATCCCGGGCGCGCCCCAAGGCACCACTTCTCCGTTCAGCCTGAGGCCGCGTCCCACATACAGCAACTAGAAGGATGTGCAGCTATGACATACAACTATCTACTGGGGCTTTGGGGGGAAAAAATAAATAAATAAAATCTTTAAAAAAAAAAAAAGAATGCTGGTGGGGGCCGGCTCCGTGGCTTAGCGGTTAAGTGCGCGCGCTCTGATGCTGGCGGCCCGGGTTCGGATCCCGGGTGTGCACCGACGCACTGCTTCTCTGGCCATGCTGAGGCCGCGTCCCACATACAGCAACTAGAAGGATGTACAGCTATGACATACAACTATCTACTGGGGCTTTGGGGGAAAATAAAAATAAATAAATAAAAAATCTTTAAAAAAAAAATGCTGGTGGGCAAAAGGTTTATTTTTATAAGGTCTGTAACTTAAATACTTCAGCAAAGTCAGCATATTTACTCATTCAGCAAACATTTGAGCACTTACTGTAGCCCAGGTACAGTGGTGAACAAAACAAAAATCCTTGCCTTCATGGAGCTTACATTCTTGTTTTTTTGATCTAAATATTTGAGTTAACAAGAATTTACATTCTAGGAGTGCTCAGCGAGTATTTAATCAGGAAGGTCACACTCCCAAAGCAGCTACTATAAGCCCTTCAGAAACCATTCCTATTATGTAACATATTCCTTTATATAACAGATGTTAGAAATGGGCTCTGGCCATTGAAATTGGTGACATTTGATATATGTGAATTGCCTAAATATTTGGGGGGTATTCCCCTCCCTTAGAAACAGAGCAGAGATCTGATAAACTCTACATCCTGTACCTTTTAGAATGGCACTTAGGGTGAGAGTGAAGCCGGGATTGATTTTGGAGGATTTTAACTGCTGAATGCCGACTATATAAACAGTTATGCCTTCAGGGTACTGTTGCATCTGCCTGAAGAGAACCCTTGGGGCAAAGGTTGAGGCATCTGGAGAAACACAGAACTGGGGTTTCATTGAGTATATCAAACAGATTGTATGAACTGTTTCTGTGCTGCTTGCTAATAATTTTGTCGAATAAATTTTTACTGTATAGCCAAAAAACACTTAATGATGTTATTGATGTTACTGAATCAACTATCAGGTGAAAGTTCATTCCAGTACCTTCCCAGCTCTTCCCCATTGCTGGCTTTGAGGAGCCAGGAACAAAAATTTCTTGACATTTTCCTTCTCACAACTTCCTCGGAAGCCGTGAGCCGCTGTTAGAGCAAGATAATGAGAAAGAGAGGTCAGGAGTAAAGCCTGCTTAGGAGAACTGAAACGTGCGGAGCGCAGGCGGACGTGGGCAAGAAGGGGTTTGCAGGAATTGCATGCTCCCAGAGGCCATCACAGTGTGGTACCCAGTACGTGTGACTACTGAAACTCGAGCCCTGGACCCAGCCTCTTCCCTAAAGGCCTAGCAGCATCTGATGCGAATGGGGATATTCTCAGGTGGCGCGAGGCGCCATGAACTGTAGCATCTCAGGCGGTCCTCGCGTGGGTCTAGCGGTGCAGCGCGTGGCAGCGCCCTCCAGCGGCCGGAGACGGCAGCGCTCTCCGGCATTGAGGAAGCCGACAGTGCTCAGGCTGGAAGTCACAGGAACAAGGTATGTCTCGCGAGAACGAAGTCCCTATTTGAGCGCATGCGCGTGCTAAATTAATCTCTTTTCCGGTTGTTGTGAGGTGAGGTATCATGAGGTGAGCGGCGTTTAGGGTGTTATCCGCAGTCATCCTGGCTTCTGGGCCCCCCTGTGGGGAGGGAGACCCTGCGGGCGGAATCGGGGGGTCCTTGCTCCTGCTTCGCTGTGAGGCATTTCTGGCCAGGCGTCGGCCTGCGGGCCTGGCGTTCGAGTTCGCGCGCCAAGCCCGGCCGGCAGTAGGGTCCCTCTTCTCTGGGGTTGCATCAGGTTCTCGGACCCAAATGGCCCGACTTGGTGTCCGGAATCCCCATGGAGTGGGTCGTGAGCCATCGCCTCGTCTCGGAGCCCGAGGGTGTTGGTCCGCGGCCCCCGCGCCTGAGCGCTCGTCCTCCTCCTCTCCCGCAGCAGCAAAGTCTCCCGCGACACCCTGTACGAGGCGGTGCGGGAAGTCCTGCACGGGAACCAGCGCAAGCGCCGGAAGTGAGCGGGGGCCGGGCGGGAGTGGGGGCCGCCGCGGGGGGCCGGGCCGGGGGTGCGGGGCCCCCTGACTTTGTGACTTGCCCCAAGGTTTTTGGAGACGGTGGAGCTGCAGATCAGCCTGAAGAACTATGACCCCCAGAAGGACAAACGCTTCTCGGGCACCGTCAGGTTGGCACCGTTCTGCCCCACCCGGCCTCCGGGCCCCCTGCTCCCGGCGGGCGCGGCGGGACGGACCCCCACCCTGGGTCTTGAAACAAGAGGGGAGGCGTGGGGAGGCCTCGGCCGAGCCCGCCGGCTAGTTTGAGAAGCCAGACTAGCTGTTGGTGAGTGGACGCTCTGGGTAAGGCTCAGTGTGCCGCGGTCCCAGGCCCTTCACCTGCCCTCGGGACCCCGGGCGCGGCCTGACCTGCTCTGTCCCCCAAAACGCAGGCTTAAGTCCACTCCCCGCCCCAAGTTCTCCGTGTGTGTGCTGGGGGACCAGCAGCACTGTGACGAGGCCAAGGCTGTGGATATCCCCCACATGGACATCGAGGCGCTGAAGAAACTCAACAAGAACAAGAAACTGGTTAAGAAGCTGGGTGAGTGTGGGTGGGGTGCGGGGCGGCAGGAGTGGTCGAAAAGTGGTATTTCTGTCGTTTGGATTTTGAAATGATGAGAGGGGTAGAATCGTGATTGAAGGGATCTGCTGTGGTTGGTTGACTTGAGAGGGGTGTTGCAGCCTTGTAAAGGTTCTATTTTTTTATCTGCTTTGAAGATTGAACTTTATAAGGGAAGGAGGCTAAGCAGTGGTTCTTTCTAAACAGCTGAGATCTGCCAACGTGACTAGTCGTGGTGCTAGTGTGTTCTGAGTTGGAATTTCTACTTCATGCTCCAGTTATTTTTTTTTATTTTATGTGGTCTGAGTATCAAGATGCCCAGTTGTCATGTAGCTAGAAAGTAGGAAGGCAGAATTTGAACCCAGGCAGTCTGTTTGTTTGTTTGTTTTTATGAGGAAATCAGCCCTGAGCTAACATCCGATGCCAATCCTCCTCTTTTTGCTGAGGAAGACTGGCCCTGGGCTAACATCTGTGCCCATCTTCCTCTACTTTATATG